AGGATTAATCTTAAAAATTATTATTAACAGTTTTGTAAAATTTAGTTTTTAGTTTTAAATAGGAAATTATACATTTTATAACAAAGATAAGAAAAAAGATACGTCAAGATTTAAAAAATAAATTTAAAATTAGAAATAATCTAAACAATAACAAAGTTTAAACAATTGTTATTTGAATTCATCAACAATTTTAGTACATTAAGAAATTATAAATTTCTGAAAATCCAAACCAATGAATTTATATCCTTATTAAATTAAAATCAATATATGAAAGAGAATTTAAATTCATAGTAAGTGATACATTTTAGTTAGCTTAAATTTACCAAAAACTATTTGAATAATTCTAAATAAAACAATAAATATTTTAACTTATTAAAATTAATCCTTTTTTAAAGATAAGAAAAAAATGACTTTACAAAAACTATTTTTATCAAATTATCATTTAGTTTTGAGATTATCAAATACCTTAATTAGATATTTTATATTAAACAAAATTAAGCAATGCTTATGTTGAAATCATTTCTCAATAAAATATTATATATCTATTATAATCAATTTGAAATCTGTACAAAGTCTGAAATTCTATTTTATAGAAATGCACAAGATACTTTTATTGATTTTCCATTATATTACTTTAGGTTAGAGTAATAGAAATTCATTATTATAAATAAAAAAGAAAATGTAAAGTTCTTCTTAAAAGAAAGAAGCTCTAGCTGACATCTTTGATGAAATAAAAGATGTAGATATACAAACCTTTGGGGCCATATTAGAAATATTAAGAAACGAGAAGATTGTAGATTGCATAGGATATCTTTCTGATTATTAAAATCAACAACATTTAGAATCCTAAATCTTACAACAAGTAGATAATATCACCCAAGTTGATAAAGAATAGAAATTATCTGAAGTTAGAAATAATATGAGATAAATTTCAGATGTCTTAAGAAAATTAAAAGATCATGACTTCAATAACTAAGACTTTTCCTCTTAAGAAAATGAAGAATCTAAACTAAGTCTAATTTAAAGCATCAAGGATATTAAATAGATAATAGAATTACTGTAATTTTTAGTTCACCTCACATCCATTAATGAAACTTTGATACAATGTGGGTCTAATTCATTGCATATTTTAGTTTAGATGAAGGTGGACCTTAGTAACAAAAATTTTGAAAATATTAAGATCTAAAATACTGCATTAGTAGGAGCTAATTTTGTAAGGTGTAATTTGAGTGGATCCTTGTTTGATAATGTAAACATTAGTGGAATAAATTTAAATGAAGCATTATTATTTCATTGTTAATGGAAAGACTTAAGAATATAAGAATTAAACAAACTTGTTGGTCATAATTAATCAGTCTATTCAGTCTGTTTTTCTCCTGATGGAAAGAAATTAGCCTCTGGTAGCAGTGATAACTCTATTTGTTTATGGGAAGTCAAAACAGGATAATAAAAAGCTAGATTATATGGTCATACTAGCAAAATCAACTAAGTCTGTTTCTCTTCTGATGGAAATACATTAGCATCTTGTAGTAGTGATAAGTCTATTCGTCTCTGGGATGTAAAAACAGGATAATAAAAAATCAAATTGGATGGACATCTAACTCATGTCAACTCAGTTTGTTTCTCTCATGATGGAAATACATTAGCTTCAGGTAGTAATGATAAGTCTCTCCGTTTATGGGATGTGAAAACAGGATAATAAAAAGCCCAAATAGAGGGTCATACTAGCGCAATCATGTCAGTCTGTTTCTCTTCTTATGGAAATACATTAGCCTCTTGTGGCTGGGATTAATCTATACGTTTATGGGATATTTAAACTAAAAAATAAAAAGCCAAATTACATAGTTATAGTAATGTTTAGTCAGTCTGTTTCTCTCCTGATGGAAATACATTAGCCTCTGGTAGTATTGATAAGTCTCTCCGTTTATGGGATGTGAAAACAGGATAATAAAAAGCCAAATTAGATGGTCATACTAGTTATGTCTACTCGGTCTGTTTCTCTCCTGATGGAAATATATTAGCATCTGGTAGTGTTGATAAGTCTATTCGCCTATGGGATGTCAAAAAAGGATAATGCAAAGATAAATTAGATGGTCATACTAGTTATGTCAACTCAGTCTGTTTCTCTCCTGATGGAAATATATTAGCATCTGGTAGTGATGATAAGTTCATCTGTCTTTGGGATGTCAAAACAGTATAATAAGTCAAATTGGATGGTCATACTAGTTGTATCAACTAAGTATGTTTCTCACCTGATGGAAATACATTAGCGTCAGGTAGTAAAGATAACCTTATCCGTCTTTGGGATGTCAAAACAGGATAATAAAAAGCCAAATTGGATGGTCAAACAACTCATGTCAACTCAGTCTGTTTCTCTCCTGATGGAAATACATTAGCCTCTGGTAGTGATGAGACTATCCGTTTATGGGTTGTCAAAACCGGAATATAAAAAGCCAAATTACATGGTCATACCAATCCTGTCTACTCAGTCTGTTTCTCTCCTGATGGAAATAAATTAGCTTCTGGTAGTTATAAAGAAATTAGTCTCTGGGATGTTAATACAGGATAATAAAAAGCGAAATTAGATGGTCATACTAGTTATGTTTATTCAGTTTGTTTCTCTCCTGATGGAAATACATTAGCTTCTTGTAGTGCTGATTAGTCTATTCGTCTATGGGATGGTAATACAGGGTAGTAAAAAGCCAAATTGGATGGCCATAATGATTATGTTAGATCAGTTTGTTTCTCTCCTGATGGAAACACATTAGCCTCTGGTAGTCGAGATAACTCTAATCGTCTTTGGGATGTCAAAACAGGAAAATAAAAAGCCATATTATATGGTAATACTAGCAAAATCAAATCAATCTGTTTCTCTCCTGATGGAAATACATTAGCTTCTGGTAGTGCAGATAACTTTATACATCTGTGGGATGTCAAAACAGCGTAATATAAATCAAAATTAAATGGTCATAGTAATACTGTCTACTCAGTTTGTTTCTCTCCAGATGGAAATACATTAGCTTCTGGTAGTAATGATTAATCTATTCGTCTATGGAATTTCAAAAGAGAATAATGTAAAGGCTAATTGGATAGTCATAGTGATTATGTTAGATCAGTCTCTATCTGTTTAGATGGAAATAAATTAGAATCTGTAATTAACGATAAGTTTATTCGTCTAAGGAATGACAAGAGTGGAGAAGAAATTAAATCCTCTGATAAAAATTATAAAGATATTCCTGCCTAATTTAAAGCACAACTATTTTAAAACAAACTTCTACCGAGTATTTATTTAATTATTATTTTTTAGAATCCAGCAATATAACAATTTTACGAATATCTGAAACACCATTATTTCAAGCATAAGATGCTTTAATCTTTAAAGGAAATTTTATAAATTATGAGGGATTCGATTTAAGATAATTATTTAAATCTAAAGGAAGTTGCTTTTTAGAAGACTTGAAGGGAAAGTGAATTTGATTATTATCAACAAAATTATAATTACAATCAATTTCTAATATTTTTTTAACTATTTATTTATCAGTCTGCTCTTATCTTAACTTCTTTAGATAGGTAAGTATTTTAAAGTTTTCATTCCATTTTGGTTGAAAAAAGTATACTCTTTTACTTTAATATTATAACAATCTATGATAAGTCTAGGCGCTTGGAATATTTAATTTATTGATGCTTAAACTGAAATGATACATGATAATATTAAAGAGAATAGTGAACACAACGAAGAGATTAGAATACAGTGTGAAATTAATTAAAAAAAAGTAATTTAACAAAGCATGATGCCTATTCTCTTATCAAAGTAATTATGATAGATTTGCTAAATTTATTATTTATTTTAAAAGGGAATGGTATTAAAGGTGAATTTAATATTTGTAAGGATTTTTTGTTTTTTTAGTTCACATAACAGAGTTAATAAAAAGATATGAAAAGGAATTGAAAAGATCTCAGATTATTTAAGTAATTAATATATAAAAAGTATTTTTGTATATA